AAAAAAACTTTAGTTTTGTTAGTATGTGAAAAATATTCCATGTAGCTGGATGAAGCACATATTCAAAAAACTAACTAACTGATCTTAATTTAGGAGTTTCCATGTGATTGGCACACATAGAGAGAGCATAAGGAGGATGTCCTGGAAAGGAAATATAATTAATCAAATCTGTTTGTAAATATCTCTTTCAGTGCTGATGGCAAGCAGAGAGTTGGAGATCACTGCTCCTTTGGAGCAGGAATATTTTTAGTGTTCTTAAATAAAAACAAGAAAGAATTCTGCAGTAACACGAAATCACAGCCTGCCCCTCTAGACAGCTGCAACTCCTGTTTGCCTTCTGAGGAGGCAGAGATGTTTGCAGCTAAGTAGGTTTTGGTCCACAGGATTTCTGTATTTCTCTTTTGTCTGACTGAAACAGAATTTTTTAAAATAGCTCTTCAAGGAAAGTTGATTAATTGGCAAAAAAAGTATGCTTTGCCTAGTGCCTATTGTCCTTGGGGGTGTCAGCAGCTGAGAGCCGCATTCTGCCTTCCATCTGGGGAGGGTGAAGTGATGTCAATACTTGCAGGAGTTAGACTGGAATCACTGGAAAATCAAATTGTTTAAAGGCCTAAGTAAATCAGTTGGAGAAAGTCTGTAGGAGATCAGCAAGATGTGTCAATGACCTCAAACGCATAACCTGTACTTAAAAAATATATATATATATTTCACTTGGATGTCTTCCTAGTCTCAGTTAAATGAAGGTTCTTGCCAAGAGTAAGCAGTAATCTGTCCTCCACATGCAAGGTAAATGGAAAAGCAGGCTTCAGTTGCTCTGAGAAAGATCCACACCAGTGCTTGGAATATTGTGCTCCAGTAAGGATAGGAAAGCACTGAAGTTAATCAGGATCATGAAAGAGTCTGTTGAGTCTACACCACTGGGGAGGCTGCTAGGACTAAGCTTGATAAACATGTGCAGAGTGATGTTGAAAAAGATGTATCTTCAGAAGGGTAGGTTGTGGACTAGGTAATCACTCAGTCCTTTTGTTTCCATAAGGTAGTAGTTGGTGACTTATCTCAGCTAGCTACCTCAGCACTGAGCATACCAGTCAGGCACTTCTCCAAATCATGGAAATTCCTAGCCAGAAAAGTGTGAACACTCTGGTGACAAGGCTTTCTAGCAGTACCATGCACAGAGGAAAGATTTTCTCTAGAAAGGTATTTCAGATAGGGTTGTGGCCTACTTTGGCTTTCACACTGGCAGGTCATATATTAGTGTTTATAACCACGGGTTAGTAATTTATTTGCAATCTTAAAAGCCAAGTATTTAAATGATTTTTTTTTTCCCCCCCCATAATCCACACAATTTGGAGGAAAATGAGGAAGAGGTAACCACTGTATAATTGTAAGTGTAGTTGTGTAGTTCAAAGGCTAATTTGAACGAAATAAAGCCAAAAAATGCATGTAAGTAGAAAAATGTCACCACACTGCCCTGAAAGAATACACTTTACATTGTTTGGAAAGCTATTTGAAGACAGTGCTATGTGTTACATATCCCTTGTCAGTTAACCAGGAGTTGTACTCAGTGTTTTCAGTGTTATGAACATCTGGTTTTGGCCATTGAAGAAAAGCCCCAGGTCAACCAGACATTGTAAACAGGTTGTGGACAGTTGCTTGGACACGATGTAAACAGGTTGTGGACAGTTGCTTGGCTCCAGATAGGCCTGAGTCACATCTGTCTCACCTGCCCACTCAGGCTCAGTTGCAGTTTTATTTATCCAAACAAAACTCACATGAAAAAGTTCTGTTCCACATTCTATCTTAAGTCTGCAGAAGCTGTATCTGTTTAACACATTTACTAAAAGGTTCACTAAAAATTATGCTTTTTCCTTCCTCTAATTGAGCATGCTTTTGAATTTTATGTGCATCAGGATGTGAATTAGCACTTTCTTAAAATTATTGTCAAGTCCATTTATTCAGTCTTGTTACAGCCCTTTTTGTGGTTAATTTTTTCAGGACTCTATGCCTTGGGACAAAATAGAGATTTAAAAGTGCTCTTATTATTAACCAGGATCAAGACTGAGACAGCCATATGTGTTTCATAGTTCGAAGTTATCATATCTTTAGCATATCTTTTTATCTCAACACTTACGTGAAAGTGGGAAGTCCTGCTGTCTCTATGGTACAGATGAGTCAGAGGGGAACTTAAAACAATATGAACATCTGCATTCTTAATCATATTTCCTTTAATATTAAAGTACATATTTTAGTGCTGGCATTATACACATTTCTTATCAGCACAGGAATTCTTATGCATACTTAATATCCGTGCACACAGTTGAATTTTCTAATGAAAAATTCCGACTAAAAAATTTCAGCTGTTTAATACGTGGTTGGCTGTATAGATCTGATTCAGGTCCACTTGAGGACTTGTGGAGAAATTCCATGAGCACATGTAGGGCCATGGTCAGGTAAAAAAGATTTAACTGTGAGTTGCCAAATAAGTAATGGAAGCTAAGGCACTTTTTTTTTTTTTTTTTTGGAGGGGGGAAGAGGAGAAGGGGGCACTGTTTGCATAACTTCACTGCCTTCCTCTTATATTTTGGAATAATATACAGGACACTTAGTTGATGTGTAAATGTTACTACTTGTTTGGTTACACAAATATTTAGGTCCGTTTGTTCCAGATTTGTTCCAGATATCAGGTATGGGTGCTTTAAATAAAGGAAAGCTGGTAGTGACCATGTGTGTCTTTTTTTAGTCAGAGTCCTAGGTTTTATGTAATTTCTGTTGTGTTTTCTGGTTTAGTTGTGGTCACCCCATCTCACATTAGAATGCGTTATGAAATGAGTCTCTGGTACTTTGGCTGATGCTGCTGGTAACTTTCAGTGCATTCATTATCCAGCCACTGGTGCATTACAGCCACTGGTCTGGTGGATCTTCTTAGGTAATTAATAATTCTAGTCACTTATAGTACTGCTAGATCAGACAAATCATTCTTTCTTGCTTTTTTTTTTTTTTTTTTTTCTTCTTCAGTTTCTGTATCTGTTGCAGAGTAGTTAGAAAATGAATTCATCGGCCTGTGAGGATTAAAGTTCATTAGACTACAGGCTGAAGTGGAGTCTTTATCCTGTGTTACAGAAGTACTTTGCCTGGCCCTTTACACCATTTGCTGGAAGTTTTCAGTACTCAGAATTTTAATATTCTCCACCATTCTCCCTTATTCTGAGACCCTCAGTGCAAGCTGTCTTTGCCCCGATGCTCCTTCTTTCATACCTGACAACTGTAAAAGACACCTCAGAACATTCTTTTTTCCCCTTTGTCCTCTTGTAGCAAGTGAGAGGAAGCACTCAAAAAAATATTTTTATCCTGTTTCCCTTCCCCTCTGGCTTTTAAAGTCAATTCCAGGGTGAGCGCTTTGTGTAACGGCAAGGTTTAGACTTGCTCTTTCCACTTAAGGCAGTGACATAAGAGCTGTCTGGTCATGGTGCTCCTATAGTTCATTCCTTTTTACTTGAGATTATTTCTCCTTTATATCTCTCAGTGGGTGTTGCAACTGCTGGAGTGGCGTCTCTGGTTATCTTTTCCTGTTTTGATCTGCTTTAAGGAAGTTCTGCTCTAAAAGTTGGTTACGTAAAAATAGTGTTCTCTTACTCAAGAAATAGTCTATTTTAAATCTTATCTGCTGACCTCAGTGGAAAATGTAAAGTTATTGCTTTTCTTCTTGTCTTGTTAGTGTTGCAGAAAAAAGAAGTGTGTTCACATTAACAGCTATGGGGATGACCTACCTCAGCCCATTAAGTCCTGTCTGTTCCATATTGGACTTTAGCATGAGCTTAAATTCAGACGTGGTATTCACACCTGCTCACAAATATTCACACTTTGCAGAGGAGGCATGGGCACGGGTGCATAATGCTGTGGTCAGTGGTCATCCTGAGCCAGCAGTCTCCTGCAGCTCTGACCTTTCGTAGCTTTTTATCCCAGGGACAGACGTACTGCAAACTGCTTGAAACTGTCAGTGCTGGGATCAGTCCATACTCAACTGTAGTCCTTGAAAGAGTCTTAAAATACTTACAAGCAGGTATAGGTTACCATGATTTAACTTCCGCAGCTAACCTTTAAGCAGACGCATTTTAACTGTTATTTTCTGGGCAGTGGGGGTATACAGATGCTTAATTATCATAGTGCCTTGGTCTGTGATAGCTTAAGCCCTGATCTTGATCATGTGTATCTGAACCCTGTTAACAGTTCGAACGTTTAGTGGCAGATAAGCAAGCTGCAGGACTGAATTAAACTGATTTAAAGTGACGATTCTTTGCTAGGAAGTGCTTCTATGAGTTCAAGGAAGAGTTTATCTAGACCTTGAGCTGCAGAACTTTAATTTCCAGCATATTTTTAAGCTGATTTTGCTTAAATCAGTGTGAAAGACAGTGGGTGTTCTTATTTCATGTTAATTAGAATAACTTTAGCTGAGCTTCAGTTAATTAGTACTTCAGTTTATTAGTACTAAGTACTAAACTGAATGTGTTACAGTAAAATAAGGAGCTGTATGAAAACACAGCTATTCTTGAACCAAGCTGAGTTGCGAGACATGACAGTGTACTGAAACACTTATTTTCTGAACCATAAATAATACTTAAGCTATAAATGTTTTAAACTGTCACGTTTCTATGAAAACAAACAGCTCTTGTCCTCTGAAGTATGTGAACGTTCTGAAGCATTGTAAAACATTAGAACAGTATATACTGTGTAATTTTTGAAGTCATCTTCCCTTGGTCTCTCAGTGCTTTCATCTCTATGAAGGAATTAAAATCCACTGCTGTAGTACTTTGCTTGTGATATTGTAATTAAGATTTGAATTCTGTCATGACAGCTTTCCTCTAACTCCATTCTAGAACATGGGAAGTGACTTCTGTTGCTAACTACCTTCAGTAGTATGCTGCATGCTCTACATTAGATAATTCCATGCAGCAGTGAATATTGGGTCTTAACCACACATCTTTTTTTTTTTTTCCACCCAGAAAGAGTATTCTTCGATTCTTGGATGCAGAAAGAGATGTCTCAGTGGTCAAAAGCAGCTTTAAGCCAGGAGATGTAATCCACTATGTACTAGACAGACGTCGCACCCTAAATATTTCTCAGGATTTGCACAGCCTTCTCCCTGAGGTTTCCCCGATGAAGAATCGCCGATTTAAAACCTGTGCTGTAGTTGGAAATTCTGGCATCCTTCTGGACAGCGGGTGTGGAAAAGAGATTGATACCCATGACTTTGTTATAAGGTGAGTGTTCTTCTGCTTTTGAACATGTGGCCTGCTTTGCTTCTTGGACAAAAGCTGAGAGAAGTGCTTTAATCTCACCTACAGATTTCAGGGGTTATCTGAAATTACAGAACAATTAATGTGAAACTGTGTTCTTCATTATGGGATTCTCCAGATTTGAATATGTTCCTGGGTTATTTACAAGAGATTTTTTTCTAAAGTGAAAGTAAAACAAGAAGCGTGCTTGATGAGGGGAGAGAGATTTGAGCTACTTATTTTTGCTGTTGTTTTTATTCCAAACAAAATAATTATTGTTACGGAGCCCATAGTAGAAAAAATGCAAAATATTTTCTTTTTCAAAAATATTTTTTCTTTCATTAGTGATGGCCTTTTCTTTCTTTAGCCAGTAGTGATGGCCTGTTGTAAATTACTACATTACTTCTGTGCAGCATGGGGTAAAATTTCAGTGATGTGTTGATGGTGAACCAGATGGCTGCCATTAAGGTAATTGGAAGTCACACACGTAAATCTTTTCACATTGCTTTAGAAATGCATCCATGCAGTTTGGGAAAAAGTGCTGATAGGCTTCACTTTTTATTCATTCATCTGTCAAGTACATACAATAGAATACCATTGGCCTTCATAAATCAATAGAAACTATGCAGAATAGTAGCTGGCTTCATCTGAGAGCCTGGCATTATATAGATATAGAGAAAGTTAGGCAAAACATCGGTCACTTTGATTTTTAAGCAGAAGTTTTAATTGGTTTGCTCTGAGGAAAGTGAAAAGACAATGTTAAAATACAGTGTGGAAATCGTAGTCGTTGCAGGTTACTTTTCTTTTTCTTACCTTGAGAAAAGATGTTGGCAAGAATCCAAAGGATATGGGAAAGAAAATTCGTACTTTTTCAATCCCTAATTTGAAATTACCAGCTTCTTGAATAGCTCTTAGCTATGCTGTGGTTTTATACTCTCTCGTGTTAAATGTGATTTATCCAGCAGAACTACAGAAAAATTAAGATGCAAGATTTTCTTGGGAAAAGTCTTTTTTCAGAGCGCAAACTCAAGAATGCCATTCAGAAAGTTTCTAGTCAACAAAGTATGTTCTTTATTCACATGTTTAATTAAATTGAAGTTATATCCGTAGTCTTCCCCCTGTTCAACTAGTCATGAAGCTAAGTTGTGACATCTAACAAGATTTTAACTAGTTGAAGCTATGTGGCATAAAGATACAAGATACAATTTTTACATCAAACAGTTACAGCTGCTCATCAGTTTTTTAGGCTGGAAAGACATCTCCTTTAGTGTATGAACAGGTAAAGCAATCTGAATAACAAATAGTCTTCTGGGTAATAGTACATATTTGACCCTGCAGTCTATAGACAGTTTTAATACAGTAAAGTTTTTGGTGTAGAAATTAAACTTGAAACTTTTCAAAAGATCAAAGATTATCCATGGTTAACTTAATGTATGTCATGTGATAAAAAGGAGTAAAATGGAGAATTCCTTCTATTTCAAATTAAAGCATACTTCAGGGCTATAGTTTCCTACACATTCCTCTTCTTACATTTAAAAAAAAAAATGTTACATACAACATAGATGATCACATTATCTAATCTTACCAATGCACTTGGTAACCACTCACCTTTGGCTGTTGGGATTCTGGTGTTTGTAGTGTGGCAGCCAGCTGTGTTTTTCTTCGGCTCATTTTTCTAGAAAAAGTATGTACTAATTCTACTCACTACCTAGCACTGTTCTGAAAAGCAGTTACTTGTATGCATATAGAAAATCATGAGTGCAGCTAGGTGTGTTGACTGATGAACAAAACTTGCAGAATCTCATGATACTAAGTGCATTATATTTAATTGCTACAAAATGTAATTTATACTATGGGGGTTAAATTTATAATCCAGTTGATTTTGATACTAATTTATGTTTTTTTCTCTTATGAGATCTAAAACAAAGTATTTGTGTTTGATAGAGGGTCATTTCTCAGAACAGGAGTTTTAATGTAGATCAAACACCAACAATACCACTAATTTTATGGGTAAGCTGATGGTGAAACTCTGAAACTGAAAAGGATAAAATACCCTAGATTTTAATCTTTCTGTTAAGGTGGTATGAAGAGTAATAACTAATAAAGACAGAGAATAAGAGAATATATGCTCTATCAAGAGTAAAGATGTAGTGAACACCTAGTGGTTTCCCAGGTGCTATCAGGTGTAAATTAGTGTCTTTGAAAGTCATCCAAAGTTGCTAATAACTTGCCATCCTTCTTTGAGACAATCCAGCCTTCTGTTTAACAGTGCCCATCAAAGAGCATTCATCCAACAGAGACACAAGGTAATTAGAATACTAAAATTTAGAAGAATGTTTAAAAATAGACATCTAAAATAGAGGTAAATAGTAAGCATTCCTGGAATCCTACAAATTTTACAAGTAAAACAATGCAGTTTTTCTTTACACAAGAGTCATTTTTGCAAGGAATGTAATATAAGCATAAGCAGATTTACTGTATTTACTGGACATTTTGAGGTGGTCTCTTTTTTAGGTACTTGATCACTTGGGGACTTACTTTGCTTTTGTAACATCAGAAATGAAGAGTCTAGGGACATGTCTTCTGCCAGGATAAAATGGATTAGTTCCACAAATTTAGCAAAGTTATGCTTGCTTTGACAGCAGAAAATGGGACACACCTAGCTAAAATGATAAGCACAGGGGCTCTTCACTAATTTAAAAAAAACAAAAAAAACTTATGATGTCTATACTACTACTATACTACACTACTTTCCTGTTTCTCATATCCCGTCAATTTTCTCTGCTTTTTTACACCTTATTGATACTTGCACCTCTAGAACTTTTGTGGTGGCAAGCTAAAGCAAAGTGTATGTTGCTGCCATGCCTGGAAAGGACTCTGAAGCATTCCCAAATCACTGACTCCATAAAGTAAATTGGAATGAAAATATTAGGTAATTAATCTGATTGCATTTTAAATGTTTAAAGAGCGCAGTTCTGTCTCAGGAGCTGTTTTTCACATGGTGCTCTTTTCAGCTGTTTCTATAGCTGTTGGGTCAGATGGTGCTCACTGCATCTGAGAGTTAAATGCGATACATCTTGCTTTCCTGTTGTCTACACTTTTTCATCCTGGAGGTCAGAGACCAGAGCTCTGTTAGGCATATTACCTGTCTCAGCTGATGTTACTGTAATCTTTGTTTGTGTTATAGTTTCTATGGAAATAAATAGGCATTACTTTCAGAGTAACCTGCATATATTACAATTATCTCCCTTCTTCTTTCTCCCTTTCCTGTCTCCTCCCCTCCCCTCCTCTTTTTTAATGGACTTTAGTTTTCATTATGGAACCGTTTCAAAAGCAGTTGCCAACTAGAGTTTTGCAATTTTTTTAATTAAATAAAATATGTAAATAAGTAGCAAAATCTTGTAGATTTATTCCTGGTGATGCTACTTCTGGAGAAATCCTTTTCATTTTAGATGGTCTGTGTGGAGCATAGACCTGGAATAGTTAAGACATGTTACATGAAGCTTCTTCACTGCCATAGACTTGCTCTGGCAATGAACGACCCTCTTAGGATATCAGTATTTAATTGCTTCTTTGGATTGAGGTGAACAGTTTATATATTACAAGCCCTTCTGCCCAGCACAGAATTTCCCTTCCAGTTTAACTGTCAACATCGAGGAATGAAACTGAAAATTTTTGCCATTGTCAGTAATGATATTTTAGTAGATGAACCTAGCTCTTATTTTTCCAGTGTCACTTAACTTTTGTTTCTTGCTTTGTCTAGTCTCATGCTTGGTGAATTTCAGATGGAAAAAGCTTGTAGTCATTTAATAGATCCTGTGTAAGGAGGAAGATAATCTGTCCCACTTCCTCTCCTATGTCCTGGTTTTGTGGACAATTGTGATGTGAGCAGCAGACAATTAGCAGCTCTGTTCAGAAAGAATAAAATGACAGACCTGCCAACAATACTGTGGACACGTGATTTCTCTTTTCAGGAGGATAGCTGAAATTTCTCTGTGTCTCCTCAAATCTTAATCTTAGTGGGCAGTGGTAGTATCTTTTTTCTTCTGTTTTGTTCCTTAAATTAATAGGCAAAAAGCAGTTGTAATTTTGTCTGAAGCATAAGTTGGAGGGTAGTAATTTACTTGAATCTTGAAACTATTATTTTTTCGTTTTTAAGTATTAGCTTTTATATTTCAGTACTCATTTAATTTGTCTTGTTTAGAGCACAACCGTTGTGCCAGTGGAGCTGGATGCACAAGGAATTAGATCTGTGGAAAGAGAAGTTGCCAGTTAAACAGATTTTACTTCAAAACAAAACACTTCCCTTGAATGTGTCATCACTAGCTCATTAGAGTATTTTCAGCTTTTAAATGTGGCACTCTTTTTTTCCTTCACTCTCTCTTCCTTCTTCAGCATCAAAATGCTTAACAACTGCAGTCTACAAATATACTTCCTCAATAATTTGGGTGGCCTCTCATAGACATGAATAGCCTCTACCTCTGGAGATCCTTGACGTAGGTCTGATTTCTTGTGCCTGAATTTTCTTTTTGGCTTCACCTAATGATAACTTGAACTGCTGGAGGGTGCTGTGCATGGTCAGGCAGTCAGCCTGTTCTGGGAACAGAAATGAAACAGAGATGTTTCGTTATGAAGCTGAACTTCTTCTGTCAATAAGTAGCACCTGTGCCACAAATGCTGGTGTGCCACCGATACATTCCATGGGAAGAAAGAAGTAGCTAGAGATTCTGATTTAAATATATATATAGAAAGATAATATTATTAATCAGTTTGTTAGTTTAAAACAGTGAAGAGTGCACTTGAAATGATTTTTTTTTTCTTTTTTTTATTGAAAAACAAAAGAAAACTAAAAGGAACTCAAGGAATTCATTATTTGGCAGACTTTTTTTTTTTTTTTTTTTTGCCTGAGGCAAGAGACATTTCATCCTTTTCCCTTTAAGCAGTCAAGAGCTTGGGCTCAGGAGAACCAGCTTTACAAACCTTGGTACCATCTAATGTATATTCACAGTGTTGTTGTTTACAGCTACTATTGTAATTGACCAAGCTGACTTTCTGTGCTGCATGTGACTATTATTTCCAACCTGTTCTTACCATCCCAATATTAGTAGCCTTGTTGTAAAGTTTGCCCTATTCAACTCTGATCTGCAGTCCACTTAGGTGGATTGTCTAAAGTGAAGGCAACAAAGAAGTACTTCTAGAATGGAAGTGTATGTATGTGCTGGAAGATATGGCATGTTGCTGAAAATTGTGTTTTGGGCTCAACTTTTAAACAATAGTATTCATTCAAAATATCAGCAGTGCAGCATGTGAGAATAGAGGGAACTCAATAAATGACAGTCTTCTATTTATTCTAATGGATTTAGTATAGCAGTGGCAACTTAATAAAAAAAGTAAGGTTTTATTTATTGCATATAAAATCCTAGGTACTTAAGGTCAAAGCTGAGGTGCCCTGCTCACCTCCTTTTTACTCCTGTGGATTTGCGTGGAGTTCTGTGCCTAAATAAGCAGGAAGGGCTATTGCATTGCCTGTTTCAGATTGTTTCAATTAATAGACTTCTTATTTACTTGGCAGAAAGTAGGTATTTGAGTCTATGTGTAGGATGTTTTCATGAAAGAATCCTGAGAACTATCATGGAAGAATCCTGTTAGATTATTGATGTTGGCTAGCAATATTAACTCTAAAATTTCAGTAGCTGTATGAAGCTACGTTAACATATAAAGATGCATTAGAGTTTAAGATAAAACTCAAAAATACATAACAGAAGTAATTTACACACACTCAAGTCTGAAGGTGAACACACAATAGCCAGTTTTATTAGCTTTGAAATGTACTTTTCTATAAAGATTTCTGGAAATTATCTGGAAATACATATTTTCTTGTGCAAGCAGTTCAGAATGAGTGTTACCATTACACAAACTCTTGTTCACATGTGGAGAAAGTTTATTGAGAAGGTGTGCAGAATTACAGAAAAATGTAAATGCATTTCCCAAGAAAGCTCTTATCTGCCTCCATTTCATGAGAAAGTTGGACAACTGTATCTCTTCAGAATATGTAGGGTTTATAGCCTTATGAACATTTATTTCTGAAGATGATTGCACCACTTCACTTGATAATTACAGAATAAGGTGTTGTTCTGAGGAATTAGTATTGTTATCTAGGTCTAGATCACGGGTATTAATCTCTATCACCATGCTGAATTATTTTTATATCACATGAGTATTTCACCAATAGAAGCTAAAGCTTAAGCAATAAGTTCATCATGCCAGAAAATAATTGCAGAACTAGTAGAATGACATTATGTTTGGAATATAAAAAATGGGAATGTTTCAAAAGACTTAGGTCTGACATCACTTAACATCCTTTCACTCAGCTAAAAAGTTAGCTAAATCATGAGTATATGGTGTCAAGGTGCTGCACTGGTACATATCAGCTAAAGGTGAATTCACAGAAGATGCTCTGGAGGTGATTTGTCTTAGGTCTAACTCATCACTGAAATCATAGGTAGTTTCTGAAGTACAGACACCTGCCTCTTGTGCTGCCCATAGAGAAGGGCTTCCTGCTTATGATACACATATTTGTATGACAGAGATGAAACGATATGGAGAGCAAAGGCCTGATGAGAGCGACAAAGTTACTGCATGTTGGACAAGGTTTGACCATAAGACATCATGGCAGAATGGAAATGCAAATTATTTTTTTTCCAAAAAAATTTAATTTCAAGATGAAATAAAAACATTAAATTTCAAAACATCTGATCAGCAGTGATATTCTAAAAAACAAAAATCCTTTTAACATGAGCTAAATTTAATTTGTCAGTTATACTTAAATACTGTACTGAGCAAAAAGGCAATGAGTATATAAATTATACCTAAATTGGCTGACATGATTTCCTGTAAGTATGTGAGTTGTTGGTAACAAGAAGATGAAAAACGAGCACTAATGAAAGGTAATAGGTGTTACAGGGCATATTCTGAGCTATGCTTTTTAAAGCACGATGATATTGTTTTCAAATATACAAAAAAGTCTTTTCTCACTGACTTAGTTGCATTCAATGCGTTTCGTTTTTTTGAAGTCTGAAAATGTTGGCAAAATGCTATGTGCAATCACACTTAGTATCACTGGTATTTTTTCCTCATGTCAATTGAAACAGGCTTGCATGTTCATTTTTAGATTTTCCTTCATGCATACATTTTTCTGAGTTAATGTTTCATATTTATTTTCATTTTTTCCATTAATTTCTTCCTCTTCAGGTGCAATCTAGCTCCCGTGGTTGAGTTTGCTGCAGATGTGGGAAATAAATCTGATTTTATTACCATGAACCCATCAGTTGTACAAAGAGCATTTGGAGGCTTTCGGAATGAGAGTGACAGAGAAAAATTTGTGCGTAGACTATCCATGCTGAATGACAGTGTCCTTTGGATCCCTGCTTTCATGGTCAAAGGCGGAGAGAAGCATGTGGAGTGGGTTAATGCATTAATCCTTAAGAATAAATTGAAAGTGCGAACCGCCTATCCATCACTGAGACTTATTCATGCTGTCAGAGGGTAAGTGTCTGGAAAAGACTGGTCTGTCCTTGGTGCAATGAAACTCATAGCTAGAATTTCTAGCAGACAGAAGAAAAGAGTGCGTAAATTGTTAAAACTATTAGCATATTTCCCTTATTGTTGTAATGGATTGCATTTATGATGAAATAAGCTTGTTCGGCAATAAATGTCATCCACTCATTTAGCCCACTGTAATGCAAACAATTGAAATACGACAGCACAGTAACAATTTCTCTTCTGCTTTTATATGCAAAGTATCTTTATGCTCATTAGAGTGGGAAATTGATGAAAAACAGACAGGATTCAAAGAATATTTGCATTCTTAACAAATCAGAGGACAATACAAGTGCTGTTTGTCTTTTTTTTGGGCAAGACTATGGAGTAAAAATACAAATGTTGGCGGTAGGGTAACAACCATGCAGATAATGAAGTATGGCAGATCTGAAAGTAATGAGCTACTTCCCAAAATGCCTAAGATTTTGTAGCAGACATTCTCCTTTTGAATTCTGCCAGGTGCTTGGTCACTTCAAGAGTATTGACCAAAAAGATTCACATTCACGCTTTGTGCAGAGGCTTGGTTCTTTTCAACCACATAATCAAACAGAACTCTTAGTTGAAGGCTCCATTGCAAGTATGAGTACATAGGGCTATGTATGAAAAACATTCAGAATACGTAGTGCAATATCTATTTGTTATGTGAAATATGACACTGTGATAATATTCAGTTCCTGTTCCTTGAACTGTCCAGTTCATGGAGTTTTGGGAGATGTCTTAAAGCTTACACAGAAATTAATGATTATGTATCAGCCTAAAAAGTTTGTTATGTTACAGCAGCAAAGATGGGAGCAGAGGGGATATTTTCATCTGATAGCCCAGTGTAGTATGAGAACATGAGAATAAAGCTTAGAAATATGTTTTTCCTTTGGGTATTAGGGCTTTTGAGTGTGTTTCTCCTCTTCTGCCATGTCCCAGATAGACTGATTGCTCTGTTCTTTATATGGTATAATGCTGGCACTGAAAGAAATCACTGTCTTTTTTGGGATTTCATTGATTTTTCACCATGTTGCTCAGTTTTCTGGTGGATAGTTCTTTTATTATACAGTTATAATTTAATTACTTTTGGGCCTTGATTGTGTTGAATTTTCAAGTGTTCAAAGTGCCTATAGCACATAGATAAGTGCAGTGGGCTTTGCGTGTGTGTATAAATCTGAATAAATAAGTTCACTTATAAATTACAAGCAGCTGTTCTTGTTCCCATCTGCTGAGTCTAGGCAAAACTGTCAAGTATGAATAGAAATTCAGAACACTCTGTCAGTTGCCCAACCTAGGGCCTCTCTAGGGGGCCTCAGTTCCAAAAATCAGAACCTTCATTGTCTGTCTGAAGTAAAAATAACTTAAACTCTGCCATCACAGTTGCTGATGAAAATTTAGGCTGTACCGTATTTCCATTTATACCTGTTGGTGTAATCTGATGTGACTAGACAAATCTGTTGAATCTTTGCTCTAACCACTAGGTCCTCCATTTTCAGGCTTTGTTGTTTTATCATGTTGCTTTTGCTGTTTTGTTCTTCTATATCATCATGTATTCTTTACTATTCTTTTTTGTAATTAAAATAAGAACCAAATAGGAAGACAAAAATTAGAAGATAAATTTGTCCTTGATTTCATCCTTGACTTTATATATAAAGTGCAGTGCCTGACATGAATGTGTCTTCATGAGTCAAATTTGGAAGTGATGCAGCTAGCAATAATACATTTGGAACACTCCTTAGATTTTACAGAAGGCAGACTTACAACACCAGTCCATAATAATGAGGCTTGTATTACAACAAGGTTAAATCTGAGGAGTGAGTATCATCTCTTTATAGGTAGCATTAAATCTTTCTAATATGTGTTTGGTTTCTATTTTAAATGAAATATCATAGCAGTATGGGAAACAAATGAGCAAAAAATATTTTTGAATTAAGCATGCCTGAGCTAAAAATTAATATTTTCTTCAAGTGAACTGACTGTTAAATCAGCTCATTTTGAGCAATAAGACATGGGAGAATTTAAGCAAGCTATAGGTGTTAATTTCAGTTTGAAACCAAAGGACAGCTAACCCCTCTGCCATTTAAAGCAGCGTGTGCAATGTAGCTACGTAATTTTAAGTAAAACATTCATGTTTTATTCTGTTATGCTCATATCTTTTCCAAATCTGGTAAACTGATAATTTATGAGCTTATGAAGAGACACTTCCTAAAACATACGCCTATGAAGCAGTCCTTGTTTTATGAATCTGAACTATTTTTATGTATTTTCGATACTTCTGCAAGCTGTGTTTTTGGCAAGTGTAAGTCTTTGTGACCACATAAGGTAAACAGTGATGACCTGTGGAGGGCCCACGGTGCTGCAAAACAGAAAAGATAAAATAAACACAACCTGAAAACAGCCTCTAGTTGGATAAGAAAACAGGAAATCTACCCACAAAAACTGCATTAAAACGCTGCAAGGCTTGTGCAGACCATTCTTAATAGATGTCTGAGCACGTGTGCAATTGAGATTCTAAGGCTTATGCTGTGTCTTTCAGTGTCTTAAGCCGTAAGAGGGAAATGAAGTTTGAGTTGTTGATGAAAGAATGATAAGGAAATCTGAGCTGCAGGAGGTGTGTTCTGTCGTTTGTCTTCCTTTACATAAGGAAATGACTTGCATGTACATTTTCAGCTTCTGTTGCGTAGAGTGCAGTGCTCTCAAATATCAGTATCTTTGTTTCAGTGCAGCGTAATGATCTTTTAATTTACAAATGCTTGGAGCAGTCATTGTCCTCTGTTTCTAATTGTAACATCCTCAAGCTCCTTTAAACTTCCATACAAATAAAAATTCACTTATTTTCCTTCTCTTGTATTAATAATACCAAAGCATTCTGGCTTTGAGTAGCCATATTTTGGATTAAATAATAATTGATATGAAGGTAGTTAGAACTACTTTAACTTAGACTTCAGTGATAAGAGAATCACTCAGGAAAGTCAGCCTGGCTCATATATTGCTTTCTACTTTTTTAAATCATCCTGATGTAACTAAAGCACAGTGAGAATTTTCTTAGACTGCCAAAGACGTAATACCAGGAGGATGTACTGAACTGGCATACTTAGTTTGAAAGTATATGATTATGGAGGTGATAAGCTAAAATATTCCCTTAGCTGTTTTTGAGAACCTCAGCAGCCATGCTGGTTTTTGTTTCGAGGCTACACCACATCCTTATCATTCAGCTGGGTGAAATGAGGCTTGTATTTGAAACGTATTACACTGCAACTATAGGTCTTTATAATCCAAAAATATACAATTCTGTACTACAGGCCTGAAAACTGACTAAAAGGAGCGCATAACTACTCTTAACAGGTTTCAGTTCTGATTTTTTTTTTTTTTCCTGAAGAACAGACTGCTTGTGTAAACATAAATTGATATTGAGTTATTTAACACACCTACAATTTTATGAAAAACATAGAAATGTAGTGTATTTCGTTCTAAATAATTTAATAGCTAATGCTTATAAATTCAGTCTGACATATTCAGTAGTAACAGAGATCTTTAATGCTGAAGGATTCAGGCTGATGGCCATAAGGTTTGGAAAAGATTGTCTCTATTCTTTTTGTACGTATCACACTGCCACATTGTTCACACAAATTAGATTTTTCCTTCATTAGTCTGTAAACCATAAGGCATAGTCAGTTGCAAAAGACAGGACAGTAGTTTTCTTGGACTGCTGTTCTAATCTAGAGTCTGTATGTGCTCTATTAAATAATAACAGCAGTTTTGCTGCAATCGCATACATCATTGAGATTCTCTCCATTTTTTTTTTTCTTTTAATAAAAGCAATTTTCTGAGCAGTACTTAGTGTTCGGGAGTAGATTTTGATCACATGCTAGCATAAAGTCTGTATTCTGAGAACATTTTGAAAACTTTCTGTCTATTCTTGCATGTTTTGGGTCATAAAAGAGGTAATGTGGTGTTTAAAAAAGAAATTGCTTTTTTTTTTTTTATTTATTTATTTTTTTTTGTGGATTCCATGGCTTATTAAACTTATGTGAATGATGTCTTCTCTAAAATCTCAGATTCAAAGTTTTGAGAAGAGATTATATAAACACTAAGTCCAGCATGGCAACTAGTATCTTAACCAGTAGCATAAATTTTAAATGGCTGAGGTATCCATATATTTAACTTGAGCAGTCTAATACCAAGGTGATCTAGTAGTTCCATATGATAATTTCTAATTGGGTTTTTTTTTGTTTTTTTTTTTACTTTTGTACTTCTTGGTCAACAAGTTTGTTTATCAAGTTAAAAAATGGGATTTAAAGTGTTTGGGGGGCAGTTGCGTGATTTCCTCTTGAAGTGTTTCTAAAAGCTTTTTCAATGGAATTTTTAATATAACTGCGCACATATTATTGACAAAATAACTGAGGTAGTTAGTACCAAACTGAGTTCAAGATAGAGGTAGAATCTATAAATGAGGAGCTTAATTGATTAAAAGGATTCTTTGCTCTCTAATGCCAGTGCTAGGAAGGTTAATTATACAGTAATTAGGATGAATAAACAGAGTTACTTTTTTTTTTTTTTTTAATTGAATTTAGCAACAAATTTCAGAAACTTTGTTTTATTAATAGATCTGAGATTTCATACTGAACACTTTCATTATTAGGATTATTTGTAATGATCTATTTCAGGTGTGTGATACCCTTTGAAGCATGAAGTGTATCTGTATGGTCTAGTCTCAGTAGCAGAGTTGCACTGGAAGGCGTGCTAAACTGCAGTGTAGGCAAACAGGAACTGAGCTTAGAGGAGCAGAGTCCAGATGCTCTTGTTTATTTCTGATGGTGACGGACAACTAAACCTGGAAAGAGGACGAGCAGATGTTTTTTGCTGTTGGTGCTGTCTTTCAGTTCCCAGGGGGAGCAGGGAGAGCTGCTGAGGCTAGGCACATTGTTGATGCATTGGAGGCCAGAGTTAACTCTCAAAGCCCACAT